TGACTAAGGATCATTGAAAGGTAGATGGCAAAATGCTCAGTTTAAAGCCCAATTTCTGCTACACCCAGGTTTAAGGCAAGAAAAGGCTATAAAGAAGATGAGGCTTAAAAACTCAAGTAAAACAAGGTGAAAAAATAAGGATTCTGAATTTCCTATCAACAAGTACTTTGTTATGACTAGAGAACTTTTTCTGGACACAGGCATAGTGTACATGTAAGTATATTTAGTTCTCTTAAGAATAAATTTTGTAAAATGAAAGTTAAAATATTTGCTAGTTTTTCAAATTATTTTTGGTTTTAAATTGAGATAGACACATGACAAAGACAGCAATTTTGGTAATTGCTGGATGATGGGAACACCTGTGTAGTTGGGGCTGTACAGAAATCTTTATTCAGTTGATAGAAAACTAGAATTCAAATCAGTTGCTGAATTTCAACCAATTTAAGTAAATTACTTGACCTAGAAGCTATTTAACCCTCCATTTCTCAATGCAGCTGTCAGAAATCTATTTTCCAAACAGAACAACAGCTGGTTTTGAACAATACTTCTATACAACAATTTTCAGTTATTCTAAAGTGTTTTTCTCTTGCTAAAATTATAAATATAGTTGAGAAGGTAATTTTCAAACTGTTCTGAAAGACTATGTTATTTTTAAAGGAAAAAACAAAATGTAATGTCCTTGTGATTTTTAAAGTGTTATCTTTACAAACGACTTGCTAGTTTTTATTTCCTAAAAACACTCAGCAGAGTGTAACCTCGCCTTCATTTTAGAACTAACTTGATAACCCTGCAGTGCCTGCAGCACCTCCGTACGCAACTTTCCAGGTGATAACTTCTGTTTGGCAGTCTTTAAGCCACCTCTCTGCACTCTTTCCCAACTGATCCACTGCTGTGATTTCACTAACACGGGATATTAACTCCCCAGTCTCCACCTCTGGTCCTGACCACTCCTCATCACTCTGGTGTCCTGCCTTTTCGGACGGCTGCAGATGTCCCCAAATTAAACTTAACTTTCCCTCTATCAAATCCACCTTCTTCATATTTCTACTTTTATTAATTAATGTCACCATCATTCTTTGAATTACCAAGATCAAAACGTTTAGATCATCTTTAATCTTCTCCCTCCCTAACCGCTCATAACACACAGTGTTGGACTCCCGGGCTCCAGAGGTAGACGGAACTTGTACCCTGACTCCTCTGCCTCACTGCAGTATGACCTTCAACAAGCCTCTTGGCTTCTCTAGGCTTTGCTATGCGCTTCACAACATAGTCATGAAGTTTTCATGAGAACACTGTTGTTCCGTTTACACGAGAAAACTTCCATAAGGGCACAAAGAATTTAGCATGAGGTGAGCTATGATGCTGATGATGCCAATGAAAAAGAATCTCCATGATCTGTTCACCTTCTTTCCATTCTTACAGAACTCTCATCACATCCCACATAAACCTTATCTATA